GCTTCCTCAAAAAGCTGAACATAGAAATTCCATACGGCCCAGCTGTTCCACTGCTTGGAATATACTCTGAGAAAATGATAACTGAAGCACAAATGGAGATTTGTATACCAATGTTTATAGCAGCATTATTTGCCATCACATGAACATGGAAACAGCCTAAATGTCCAACCACAAACAAATGCATTGAGAAATTATGGTCCATTTACATGATGGAATACTACGCAGCATGCAGGAGCCATGATTCTGTAAATTACTACCTAACTTGGGTGGTACTGGAGAGCATTATGCTAAGTGAACTAACTCAGTCCCAAAAGGACTGTATAAGACCATTACTGTAGAAATAGATAACTAGTAAACCGTGTATGAGGATCTGAGGGGCAGAGGGTAGGAGCAGTGGCTGAGGATAGGTAGATGGGTAATCATAGGGTCACACAATCTGATGAGTGGAGGGAGGTACAGGTGAAGGAAATGAGAAAGATCCAGTGAGGAAAACAATGGATGCAAACTTTGTAAGTTAATCAATATAAAAGAAAAGTTTTAGTTTAGTTTTGTGGGGGTTTTTTTCAAAGATACCTCTAATTACTAAGAAGTTAGTTTCTTTCTTGGAATTTTATTTTTCTATCAAGATTCCTTTTATTATTTTGTAGAACACTTAACTATGATATAGTTACTATAAAAATAAAGCAATTATCTTTATTAAACCTTTAATTTATAGCAGAAATCAAATATATTTTACCCAAGTCAACATACCCATTTGCTTCTCTGACACCCATCCAAACTATGTAATTTCTCAGAGCTTTAAACATCTTGTCTAGGAATATTTAAACAAATTCTTTCAATACTTCAGAAATAGAGAGGGTAAGGGTGTAATATGAGGAAAGAATGGACATTTAAATGTACCGTTTTTCAAAGTATCATAACAAAACATAAGATCTGAATAATTTCTCTTCTCCCATGGGTTTTCTCTACTTCCTGGACCTGATACACACAACACATATACTGCCTGGGTTTTCTTTACTTCTAAGTGACAGCGGCGGGGGCGGGGGGGCCGGGAAATAAGTCTTTCTTATCAATCTAGAAGTGGTCAATTTATCTCTTTATCTACAGGACTAGGAAGAGAAGTGGACAAGAGCTGACACATGTGAGTAGCAGAATGGAGGAGCAATGTCAACCACAAGTCATACCCCAGTCTTCATAATGTTCCTCAAACTTCAACAAGAAAACATTAGCTAGACAGGATAAGAAATACTGAAACTGGTGAGATAAGACATACGTTCATTTTTAACTGATTTCTTGGTAGATGCAATTCATTCTCATTAATGTTCAGATGCAAACCACAAAAGGCTATCTTGGAAAAAATAAAATTATCCTTGATGGGCATCGGAAACTCTGGAGTGGGGCCTGCGTTCCATGATGCTATTATCACGTCAAGTGGGCACTCTTGCGCAGTGCATGGCCTAAACAACTGACTTGCGGATCGGACTTATATAGATCTTTCTCTTAAGTGCTTCATAAATCATAAGACAAAAAAAAATATCATGAGATCAACAGTCTCTGTAGAGTAGAACTGTGTCAAATTAAGATGGTAATGTTTTCTACAGCAAATTCCAAATCCAGCCAGTATAAACGAGCAAGAGAATGAGATACTTGACATAAATTCTTATGATAAAGTTGTCAGTGAGCAGCTCATTGGAGTCACTCTCCTTGTCGAAGCTCACAGGAAAGTGTGGTACTTACCACCGTCTTCAACTGTAAACTGGAACACATCACTTGTGGCATTCGCCCCTTCCCGTAAGACGTAGCATATTTTCATGTCATCAATGTCAGCTAGAAAACAAGCAAAGGGCCAGAGGATTAATTACGAGGACAAAGCTGATGACCCATTCCTGGAAAATCCTATTTGTTCCTGCTAACCATGTTTAGGCTGTCTATGGGAAACAGTGGTATCATAGTTCGCCTATCTCGAGCCCCCTGGATTTCAGCTGTCCCAAGGAAACTTGATTCCTTCTATCGATAAATAGAATGAGGGAGCTCAGTTATAAGAATAGCAAGGTGTTGCCCCTCCCGATCGTATCTGGGTGCTCACACACCAAAGGAGTGACCATCTAAGTACGGAATGCCGGCCACCCTGACAGGTGGCAGGGAGATATTTTGAGGCCTGGCAGCTTCACCAGCAGTGCGCGGACACACCCTTCACCTCTCAGCACCACTTGTCTTCCACATGAAGCCTCTCCCCTCTCCCTCTTGCTAACTTTTCTTACCTCTTGTCATACAGCTGGCTATTTTTAAGTTCTCCAAAGTTTGAAAGTAAGGGGGGGAAAAGGCGAGATGTGAAAAATACCATCCCAAAGGTTAAAATAACTATCAGTACTCTAGATATCAGCGAGACCCTGAACGGGGAAACATCTAATGAAAGTTGGTGCCTTTGATGCACAGTAGCAGTTGGGCTTATAGCCTCAGGAATGCTTCTTGGGTGGATATATGTTCTTATGCTCAGATGCATTTGCCTGGCTTTGCTTTCAGCATTTTTAAAAGGTATTCAGCCATGTTGCCAATTCTCCTCCTTAACCAAAACAAACGTAGGAGATAATAAATAATTTTCTATCTAAAAACAAGCTCCCTGTTTTCTGATACAATGGATAGTTGTTTGATGCCTAATTTTTTCCAAAGCTACATAAATTCACAATCATAGTTGAAAATAGCTTCCACAACGGTGGTTGTTGTTGATGTTGATTGCTGTCAAGTTGAGCACCACTCACAGCGACTCTATGAACAAAAGGCCTGAAGCCTTTCTATAACTATTGTCATTTATCAAAGTTCATAGAATTTCCAGAGGCATGTTGTTTAGGAAGTGGATGTCACTCCTGCTTTTATCAATGTAATGTGTTCCCTTTAGTTATTCTGTCTCTGAAGTGTTCAAAATGCATTTATGGAATATAAAGAAGTTAGATCTAAGAAAATGATTTTATGAAAGAATAATCTCAAGTGACACAAAATATTCCAAATCAAACTCAATCTACACTGTCAAGTTGTTTCTGATGCACAGTGAGTTTCTGAGGCTAAAAAGCTTTGAGGAGACTGTTCCTCTTTCTCTGGTGGAGTGACAGGTGGCTTTGAACCACTGACCTTTTAGTTAGCTGCCCAACACTTTGTGAACTACACCAGTAGAGCTACTATGTAAAGTACTAAGATCAAGAAATTATTCCATGGATTTCTGTTGCTCCAGTTACAGAAGTGAGCCTTTTTCTCTACTCCAGCTTACAGTGTTCTAAAATGTGAAAGAGTAGATGATTGGTGAAATTGCTAAGGGGCCCCTACTCCGTTAACCACAGGTTACCCTGGAGAGCTTTTCCACAGGGTCTTCCTGGCCTTAGCCTTCACAAAGTCCCTGGGTTGACACAAATGTTTAAGTACATGACTATTCACCAGAAGGTTAGTGTCTCAGAAGAAGCTAGGCTTGGCCATTTGCTTCCAAGAGGTCACAGTCTTAAAAAGAGACTTAGGCAGCAGAGTTGGGAACTAACAATCACAGCATCTTCACAGCAGCTCACCGGGTCTTTCTTCTGCATCACTGCTAGCTGGATTTGAACCTCCAAACTTCAGGGAGCATCCAATTGCACACTGCTTGCACCACTCAGGGTCTTGAATAGTTGATGATACCCTGTCACTAATGGAGGCACTGGGAGACAGGCTAAAGTCATTGGTTCTCCACACTTGATCCCCTCTCCCTCCCTCAGCTGATACCTCTGGTTGCTAAAGGCTCCAGCTCCCACAACTCTTTGACTGTTTGCACATATAACTCTCTTTACAACTTTCAATTTATGAGCAAGGGAGCAGAGTAAACTCTGGGTGCTGACACACCTTTAGCACAAGGATGATAACCTGTGGTGAAGAGAAAGACTCACCCTAACACGCCTTCCCTGCTGCAACTTTGAAAAAAATGAAAAAAAAAAAAAATCTAACGCTGCTAGTGTGTATGAGAACTAAATGCAACATGACGAAACTGTTTATTGTACCTAAGTGCTAGAGCAACACTTTCATAAACAGAAACTGTAGTGTTTAGGGGACAGTTTCATTGAAAGAAATCAATACTCAGCCCTTGTGTCCCTTTTCTCATATGTATGTGTCTATCTATCT